AAAAAAAAAAAAAAAAAAAGGAAGCAGAAAGAAGAGTTGCTTCTACTCTACCTCAGTGGCCCTGGTACGCCAAAAAGGAAAACCCTGCAACTGATTACATTCCTTGGCAGAGTTGACAGAGCCAAAAATCCTGCATCTCGGTCAAACTCTGTCACCTACAGTTATAGGAAATGTGTTGAGCATACATAGCTCAGAAGCGGGGATAATTTTTGTGGGAAAGTTAGTTCTTCACTGAAACAAATGGACTGGCTCCCCTTTAAATGTGCCCTATGCGTGTGCCCAAAAATAGGGGCCACTTACTAATTTCAAGAGTTTAGGATCCATGGGTGAAAAATTCAATTTAAGGGCAATATTCTGTTTTCATTGTTAGCCACCCAGAGTCATGTATAGTATATGAGATGAGTGGCCTTATACATTTATTAAATAAATAAATACACTTTGAGAAATTAATTTGTAAGGTAACATTTTATATTGTTATGTGTATATGAATAATGCCTCCATGAAAAGAGAATTAAATTAAAAAACCTGAAAATACTTGTAAATGTCAAAATATATTAGCAACTTGGAAATAAATTTAAATAATACTGGAATAGGAAACTTTACATACTTGGTAAAATATTTGAGATTTATATTTTCAGACTTAAAAACATGGAAGTCACAAGATCTGGGTATTGTTACAGTTGAAATAAAACGGCTATTTTCTAGAAACATTAATATATAAAATGTTCATAGATATACTGAAAATGAAAAATGCCTTAAGAATAAAAAAAACCAATTGGTTATTTGTTATGTATTTAGTACAGTATATGATAATAAATACACATTTATTTTAATCTCTGCAACTTCTTTTGCCGCATATTTCCTGATTTTCTTTTCAGAGGGGCTTCTTGGCCATCTCCCTCTGAAGGTTTATTACTATCGGTCCAACAAATTTTCTTTTTCTTAACTGATGGCTGATCTGCTTCATGTACTGGAAAAAAATAAATCAAGGTTACATTTAAAGATACTATATTAAAATAAATTGTTTTAATTATAGTTGACCTGACAGAACTTGAAGAAAATTCTACAGTAATACCCTGACATGAAGATGTTGTGGCTTCACTGGAGATCTGCTCTGTTTCAAAATCTCTTTTGAGCCATACTGCTAAACAGGTAAGCCTGGCTTTAGTATTGACTTCACATAGCAATGATGGGGTATTCTCAATCTGAAAAAATAAAAATAAAAAATCCAAGACATTTATTCATGTAAACTCCAGAAAAGTAAACATGCCATTTTGTAACAGCCAAGACGATATCCATCACATTGAAGATGAGTAGAATTTCTGCAGCATCCTCTTCCTCAGACAATATTCTGTGCCAGAAATGCAATTGTATCAGTATTTGAAAGGTATGTGAACAACTATGGTGATAGGAGCGACAGATAAAATCCGTTGCACTTGTGCAATCTTATCTTAAAAGTAAGAACTAGCTTGTTCAACTGACCCTATTTCCTAAAAAGCTGATTTAAGGATAGTCGGTGGCCATTTACTCAGGTGTAAGATCCACTGAACTGAACATTTCTGAAAGGATGTGTTTACAATTACAAGTCTCACCATTTTATTGAATTTGATGCAATTTATCTTACTAAGTTTCTAGTGAGAGATCGATGTAAGAAATATGCTTTGATGCATAAAAATGAGCAATCCAAGTTGTACTTATAGCTAAAAAAGTGTATCTCTATAGTATAAAGTTATTAGTTCAATGGTTTTCAAACTTTGCTATACCACAGCGTCCTACCCTCAGAATAAAACTAATTATTTCACTGATGTTAGAAAAGGGCAAGAAAAATATACAATATTTAATAACTATTTTTTAATTTATGCATCATAGTGGGTTCTCAAACTTTGTGGTACAGCAACTGCCCACTGTGGGCTTGTGCAGAGAAAATGAGAAGCAAAGTCCAGACTGAATTCTGATGGTGCTATCCCTCCTTGTACAGACCTGTTTAAAAAACAGCAACAATCAACTATGATGCCACCTCCCCTACCTCAAGCTGCTTGCAATCGCCCTCAGTTGGAGAATCCTGAATTAGCTGATAAAATATATTCAGGAGTTATTTGTAAAAGAGAGCCAGTTTGGTCTAGTAGTTAAGGCACCAGGCTAGAAGCCAGGAGACGGTGAGTTCTAGTCCCACCTGAGGCATGAAAGCCGGCTGGCTGACTTTGGGCCAGTCACTCTCTCTCAGCCCAACTCACCTCACAGGGTGGTTGTTGTGGGGGAAATAGGAGGAGGAAGGAATATTAGGTATATTTGCCACCTTGAGTTATTTATAAAACTAATGAAGGCAGGATAAAAAAAAATCTGCCAAAAAAAATTTAAAACAAATTATTTGTAAAATAAGCAAAACAAAAGTAAAATCTCCAAACTCTAGCATGTGTACCTTTTCAAACTACAGCTCCTCTGTTTGAGTGGAACACTGTTCTCAGGCTTACCTATACTGCAAATTTGATTTGATGCAGAAATAACACTTAATTCTTAATACGCAACACTTTTTATAAAGCATCTGAAAGAAGCTCATTAGTGCAAACAAAGCAATCTTCCTCAAAGCACAAAAGCAGCATGGTGAAAAGTTTATCCCAGCTGAGTACATACAGCCACTTAAGTTTGCTGCAGTCCCTGTGGGACTACTATCTGTGCACAGAAATAGCAAAGGACATGGCTGCTTTAACACTTTGAGAAGGGGTATTCCATTTATACTAATGCACTTCACAAAGCATCTCTTTCAAATGCTTTGAATTTGAAATGTAACAAAAACTGCCCAGAATCACTGGGAGTTAGGTGGCATTATAAATTATTATTATTATTATTATTATTATTAAACAAATAATAATAAATAATCAAGCACATGTAATGATTTAACAGAGCAGGACAGATGAAATCTGTATCATATTAAATTAATGGTAAAATGCCATTTTTTTTTAAAATAACATTTAAGCAAAACATAATCCTATCAATGTTTATTCAGAAATAAGTCTCCCTGACATTAAAGCAAGCCAGCTGGGTTCACCTAAAACTGCAACCTTACATATCATGGACATCATGAAAATAAGTTAAAGATACAAGTCTAAGTTTTAAGGACTGTACCCAATGGGGATATTCCACTAAGACAACACTTCTAATCCTTGCAAAAATCACTCTTCTTATATGAACATTAAATTCAATGTTCTTATTTTTATATGGACAAGCTGAATAAGCCATTTCACTTCCATTAGACTATTCATTGGTTGTGTAATTATTAGTGGAATGTCATCTCTTGTATTTTTAATACAATCCTAACTATTCTTCCGCAAAATTTTTGAATAGTTTGGTAATATACAAACCTTATCAATATCAAGATTCCACACCTTAATGTAGCCATCACTTGATGCTGTTACTAGAATATGTAAGCCTTCCATTTTGAAACTGTACAGTGCTTTGATTCTAAGGATCAAGAGATAATATTACATTTTTAAATTTAAATGAATTAAAAAATAAGAGCTAAGAAAATTCACAATAATCAAGAAATGATTGCAAAATGCTACATAACTATTACTTAACCAAATTCTACTGATACGTGAAGAACAATTAACTTTGAATCATATAATGGGAGCTTACTTTGTTCCCTTTCTCTATCAGATAGATTAAAATGTGAAAAAAATGCAAGGGAAAGGAAACAGAGAACCTGATTTGCTAATCATATCCATTTCCACCAATGGGCTACATAAATACAGTATCAGAGCTATAATACAATTCATCCAAAGGTAAGCACATAGTGATATAGTTCAAAGAGAAAGATTGATCTAAATACAAAATGGTCTGATACTGAAATCATTGAAACTTTAAAGTACTGAAATTTGATATTAACCCTATGAAAATACACGTAGTATCACCAAACAAAACTCAGAAGTAAATAGTATATAAAAATTAAAGAAAAATCTTTAAAAATACATAATTAATTAATAGAACATACCTGTTTTCATGAGCTTTAAATTCACAAAGGCATTTTTGAGATTCGCAGTCAAATAACCTTATGAATTCATCATCTCCTGCAATGGCAAGTATGGAATCCTTTAAAGAAACATTTAAAAAGTGTATGAGATTGGATTCATTTATAACATTTTAAATAATTTGACTCTATTTTTCTACTTACAGTGATAAACCTTACTGAAGATATCCTCTTTTCTGTGACAATGGTACCAGAGATAGAAGCAGTTTCAAGCTTGTATAGATCAACTTTGTTAGCTATAGCCACCATGTATGTCTCACCGCTAGGCGACCACTTAACAAGATGTGCATCTAAGAAATGTCAATCATATAGATTTTGAGGAAAAAAAAAGTTAAACCACAGGTATCATTTTCTGCAGATGAGATTCAGTTCTAAGTAATAGCCAATATGCGATGTTTCTTTATTACTACTTAGGATAAACTTGTCTTGAATTTAATGCCTTTAAACTTTTTAAACTCCTGAAATTCAAGGTTTATTAGCCTCTTTCTCTATGTTAAACAAAAATTCTTAACCTTAATATTAATAATCCATTAAAAGATTACTATTTATAATCTATTAATAAGGATCTAAATATTAAAATTCAATAAATACACTGCCAACTAGCACTTGGTAGAGCAGCCATGAAGGCTTGGAAAAGATATTCAGATGCTTTGATGTCTCTATACCTACAAAGATCAGAATTGTGCAAGCCATGGCATTCCCTGTGACACTCTATGAAAGCAAAAGTTGGACTTTGAAGAAGTAGAATAGGATGAATATTGATGCTTTTGAACTTTGGTGTTGGAGAAGACACCTGAGGATACTGTGGACAGCTAAGAAAACAAGCTAATGGATCATCAAACAAATCAACCCAGAATTCTCACTCGAAGCATAAATGACCATGCTCAAATTATCCTACTTTGGACACATTATGTGAAGACCTGATTCTCTGGAGAAGGTCCTAATGCTGGGAAAGGTGCGAGGAAAGAGAAAAGGATGACTAGCAGCAAGGTGGATGGACTCAGAGTGGTGATGAGTGCACTGCTGCAAGACCTGAAGGACCAGGTTAGGGACAGAACATCATGGAGAAAATCTATCTATGTGGTTGCTAGGAGTTGAAAACAACTTGATGGCACATAATCAATCAATCAATCAATCAAATATTAAAAGAACTTTTCTTCTTTTTTAAATATTTTATTGGCGAAATATAACAACCAGAAGATATGATGAAGTACAACCAAATAAAACAATGCTTATAAAATCAGAAGAGAATATACAGAATAGTGATTAAATGAGTGACATTTGAAGAAACAAAATATATATCTATAAAGTGTTAATATAGCTCAGTCTTCTAACATATTATTAAATCTAGCCTTATAGACCATCTATTGCTCCATCTTTTCAGCTTGGTACAATATGTTATTTCAATATAGTAATATTTATATAACATACTTAGATTTTTTATATTCTATTATTTAATGTCTTAGAGAATATAGATAAAAGGAAGAGAAAGCAGATATTTTATTACCGTATTTTTCCAACTATAAGACAATACTTTTTTCTAAAATCCTTACACTAAAAATTGAAGGGCATCTTATGCAAGGAAGTAAGCCGAGGAGAGAACTGCGCGGTTGCAAAACTGCCCATACTTTGTCTCTGCAAACAGGCTTCCTCCTATTGCTAGCCTCCAATCACGAGTGAAATATTTCTAAAATCCTTACACTAAAAATTGAAGGGCATCTTATGCAAGGAAGTAAGCCGAGGAGAGAACTGCGCGGTTGCAAAACTGCCCATACTTTGTCTCTGCAAACAGGCTTCCTCCTATTGCTAGCCTCCAATCACGAGTGAAATAGCTTGACTCTGCAAACAGCTTCCTCCAATCACGAGCCTCCATTCACGAGTGAAACTGCCCATACTGTCTCTGCAAACAGACTTCCTCCAATCACAAGCCTTATGTAACTGATGTCAGCCGATGCTGAACAAACCAATTAGAGGAAGTCTGTTTGCAGAGACAAGCTATTGGCAGTTTCACTCGTGATTGGAGGCTCGGGATTGGAGGAAGACTGTTTGCAGAGTCAAGCTATTTCACTCGTGATTGGAGGCTAGCAATAGGAGGAAGCCTGTTTGCAGAGACA